TGGTATATATATATATATATATATATATATATATATAGTTATTCTCTTATCCGGATGTCCGCACATTATTATCGTGCGGATCCTATTGTAAACATGCAGGAAAACAGAAAGGGGTAGTATAAAATACACAGCGTCCGCACGATAATAACGTCCGGATGTCCGCATAAGAGAATTTCTGTATATATATATATATATATATATATGTTTTCAAGTTTTTTTTTTTTCCAATTATGTCCTATATGATAAATTACATACACGCAAAAAATTTGTATGTATAAATAGAGGCTTGTTGGCAGGGAAGAGTCGCAGTGGGAGTTTCGCCATGGCCGAAAGCTCTTTCAAGAACGAATATCCTTAGGGTATATTTTTCCTTTGCTTTATTTTTTTCGTTTTTTGGGTTGATTAGATGGTCTGAATAGTTCTTCAAAGATGCAGAATTGATGATGATTTTTGTTTATTTTGGAAATTGGTGATGAGTTTTTGTCTAAGTTTTCTTTTCTCATTTGTTTTCTGCTGATGGTTTTGGACTAAAATGTTTCAGAAATGACCCAAGCAGAAGAGAACAATCCAGATCCGACACCGGTAAGAATTTCACTCAATCGGATATGTTTAGTTCCTAGGCATTCACTTGGCATACTCTGTTCTAATTTGAGACTTTATGCAGATGATTGTTGAGAATTCTGCAACCATTGACATTCCTGACATTGGAAAGAAGAAGTTAGTTTCCAATTTCCTTGTTTTTAAAAATCTTGATTTGTAACAGGATTGTTTCCTTTTCATTTATGCTTTTGATATGTGTTCAGAAATTCGTCAAGAAAAGGAAGGAAAAATTTGGGGCTTGTTGTTTGGCCATGGCACATTACTCATTTAGAACCTTTTGATTGGAGTGCCGGCAAATTGGTAAGAATTTCATTGAATCAAATATGTTTACATCCTATACATTCGGTAGATGCACTCTGTTCTAATTTGAGGCCCCATGCATGTGATTGTGGATAAGGATGCAAGGAGTTACCTTCCTGTTATGAACATGAAGAAGTTAGTTTCAAATTCCTTTGTGCTTTAATTATCTTGATTTATATTTATAGGATTGTTCCCTTTTCATTTATTCTTTTGATACACGTCATAAAATTGGTCAAGAAAAAGAAACTAAATTGTTGAAAGTGCCCGCTGCTTTCTATGTTTTTATTGTGAGTTTTCATTTTAAAGTGTACATGCAATATATATATATATATAGGGTACTATTTCTTTTTAAAAAATTGAAAAACAGAGTATCGCCGCGCTGCTATACTATTTTTTTCATTAAAAACCCGTAGTATAGCCGCCCGGCCATACTATTTAATTACATTGTATTTAAATGGGTTTCATTTAAAAAACTTAGAAAAAACTAAGTATCGTCGCGCGGCTATACTATATAATGTTTTAATATTTTAATATAATATTATATAGCCACTATATAATATTTTAATATATATTATTTATATTTAATAATATGTGATAATTATGTGTATAATACGTGAATTTTGTGTATATACTCATTTTTCATGTGTGTAATACTTGAATTTCATGTATATAATTATTTATTTATTTTTAATATATATTATTTATATTCAACTTAAAAGATCGGCTATACTATTTCTTTTAAAAATATTGGAAAAAACCGAGTATAGTCGTGCGGCTACACTATTTCTTTTTAAAAAAAATTTAGAAAAAAAGAGTATAGAAGGACGGCTATATTTATCTTTTTAAAAAAAATTGCAGGAAATCGGCTATACTTATCTATTTGTTTTAGAAACAATTTTAAAAAAATGAGTATAGTCTGTCGGCTATACTATTTATTAAGAAAAAATCTGGAAAAAAATTTGAGAAAACCCAATACAGCCGACCGGCTATACTATTTCTTTTAAAAGAACTAGAAGAAAAAAACCCAGTATATCCGAGCGGCTATACAATTTCTTTTAAAAAAATATTGAAAAAAACGGAGTATCGCCGTGCGGCTATACTATTTCTAATTTAAAAAATTGGAAAAAACTGAGTATAGCCAGGCAGGTCTACGATCTCTTTTTAAAAATTAATGCTGTATAGCTGCGCGGCTATAATATTTCCTTTTAAAATTTTTTAAAAAAAACCGAGTAAATCCGCATGGCTATATATTTCTTTAAAAAAAATTTGAACAAACGAGTATAGCCGGACGGCTATACTATTTCTTTTAAAAAATGAAAAAGCGAGCGGCTATACTATTTCTTTTTTTGAAAAATTAGGTAAAAACCTTTAAACAAAATTGGAAAACACACTGTATAGCCGTGCGGCTTTACTATTTCTTTTTAAAAAAAATTAAAAAACCGAGTAGAGCCGGGGTGATATACTATTTCTTTTAAATAAAAAATTGAAAACCTAAGCATATTCGCGCGGCTATAATATTTCTTTTAGTATTGAATAAGATAATAACTTAATTTGGAAGAATTTTACATTATCACGTAGTGCTACTTTCTTCACTTTTTTTGTTTTTGTTTTGACAATGCGATATTCTAAATGATAAGAAGGAGATTCGAATTTATGTGTAAGAAAACGTGCACAATAATTACATTATGTTAAGTCTAGTTGCTCGGGCTGTTGTACATTTTGATTATGGTAATGATGTTGTCATATATCTAATTGGAATATATAAAAAATTACTAATTTTCTCACTTCTTGCTACACAATTTATTAAACCCATTATCTCTATTGCACCCCATAATTCATAATTCACGTCTTGACAAATATTGGTGGATACAAGATAATATGACTCGAACACCAAGTTCGAACGTCTCATCCGGGGCTGCAGTGGCCACAGTGCATCCATCTGGGGTCTGAAAACATAAACAGCATTAAGTTACAAACAATTAGAACGTGTAAATGTAACTACCATATGAAGTTGCCATGAAAATTTATTCCAAATGAAAATCAATCCACGAAATCAAATGAAAATTTATTCCAAATGAAAATCAATCCATGAAATCAAATGAAAATTTATTCCAAATTGAATTCGCCAAAGTGCAAATTAAAGTCCAAATTAGTACCTGTGTCATGAAGAGAACTCTGGAGGTATGGCCAGTGAGCTCTGCCATAGGTACACTGAGTTTCCAAGAGCAATTGCAAGAATGTTGCTGCTGCTCCAGTCTAGTAAATTCAAGTAGAAATTATCTACAATACCGGGACCGTCCAACGTTCTCTCTGGACCCTGCAAAATCAAATTGAAAGAATTAGAACAGCCACACAGAAAAATCAATATGATCATCACTACAGTCACAATCCTAAGAAAAATTTGATTCCCTTATACGGTGATCACTACACACACTACATATTATCATCATTTCAGGCACTATACAGGCAGATTTACATTCCCTTAAATCTAGCATTACCTATACCTTAGAAATGAAGGAAGTTGAGGTTGCACCCCAAAACCAATTGGCAATGGCGAAGTAGCCCAACTCCTTATAAGCCCTTGCAAGGTTTTCTAACTTTCCAATGTGGGACATTGTCACCTTCACATTCTCACAAGGAATTCAAGTGTCCACAATCCAAATTCAAGTATGATGATATTAGTGCAATTATACCTTAGGAATCCTTCGACAGGGCTTGGTAGATTTGGCCTTATGAAGAGGGAGTGAAAGCAATCTCCTTGGAATGGCTTCAACTGGGGTTGGCAGTTTGTTCTTGAATGTGAAGATTCGTGCTCGGTTCATGTTGAAGGTCTCAGCCAGTAGCTTCTGATATGTAGAGCTTGCAGCCCAGGGCTTCTCGATTCCTTTTCTCCTTCCTGTGACCATGTAATGCACGTAATCAAGGTCCAGTGCCACCCGATTGGGTATAAACCTATCCAACTGTAAATAACAAACATATTTTATTAGTCAGAAGCAAACCAAAAACCAGACACGTTAATACCCCTTTATTTGGTTTCAAGAAAATGACGGAAAAGTAAATCTCTCAGACCTATTTTATCCTTAAACAGACCATATTGGTTTTTTTAACTCCTACATTGGATTGGACAACTAGCTTAACTGAGTAAGTTCGAAAACAAAAAATCGTACGCACAAGAAATGAACTGTTGAGCAACCATTGTGGATGCTCTAAGGCACAAGAAGAATCCCATTTAAATATTAGCATCATTTAATAATTGAATGGAAACCTATCCATTTACAGAACTGCTACTTATACAATTTCAATCAATCTAGAAAGGCAGAGGAGAGTTAAATATCAGCAACATAAAAAACCCAACATGCAAAGTTTCTGGCGTAAAATACTATCCCTGTCTTATGAAGTTATGTTTCATATGTCCCAAAAAGCATAGTTCCTCACAAAAATTCAGGAAGTGTTGAATGGGTAAAGTTTCTTGCACACACTACTTTTATTAAATGGGTAAAGGTTTACTTGTCAATTCACAGTTTCATCTCTGCAGATTATCAATGTTTCTCTAAAGGCCAGAACTTTAGTACAAAAAAAATCTCAGGTTGAATGAGAATAAGGATCTCCCCTTGATGCTATGAACTTTAGTATCATAATTAGCATTTGGTTTTTGCGAAAAGCAGCAGACCCAGCGAAATAATAAATGAAATTGCGGCTCTGTTGACTCAATTAACAACCCAATGCTCTAAAATCTTACAAATGAAAACCCTAAAATTGCAAATTGACAGATAACCCAAAAAGACAAGGAAAATTGAAATTCAAAACAAGTCAAAAGAACCCAGAAAAGATTCACTTACATTCTCCCAATTAGGCTTTCTCAGAACGAATTTTGTTCTCCAAGAGGGTACCTGAAGATGTTGCTCCCAACTCGTTTTTCCCTGTATCTCACTGTGCGTGAAAACGACGAAGCCAAGGCGCCAAATTGAAGAAAACAAAACAGAGATTGGCTTTTCATTTCAACTACCGACTTGTATTTAAATTCGCATCGATCGACCCGGTTTCACCAAAAACCCGCGTACGGACCCCGGCTGGCAACAGCTCCTTAAACAAAAATTATTTACTTTCCAACTTTACCCTTGCATTTTATTTTTACCATGGTTGATTTTGTCATTTGCACACGCCTTTTTAAATGAAATCATCAAGTAGTTGCGAAGAATTAGAGAGAAAAATAAAATGGCTTACTTTGCAGTCGAAAGATAAAGAGAATTCTTGAAATTGATGGAGATTATCTGGTAAGGGTAGAAATTAGGGTTGTACTATACAATATATATATACTAGCTCATTGGCACATGCTCACATATGTGCCAATTGGTTTTTTTTTTTCATTAATTTTTTTTAGTATTAAGAAAAGATAACATGGGTAATTATTATCTGATTTTGTTTTTAATTTTAATTTTTTTAATATAAAAATGTGAATTTACGATATTATCCTCATTTAATTAATAATTTCAATTCTTAATTTTTGAATTAACCAAGGGTATTTTCTAGTATTTTGAATGTTTCACATATATATATATATATATATATATATATTCACGTGTTGTTTTTTCCATTTTATATCCCATATGATAAATTACATACATGTAAAAATTGTAATTAGAAATTGTTTTGATTTTTCTGTATTTATCTATCTATATAAATGTAGAAGGTTGAAACATTCAAAACCCCATAAATTCCACTTGGTGAATAAAAAAGATAAAAGTGAAGATATTTTATTAAATAAACATAAATTGGTACAATAAAAATATGTTTAAATTAAATTAAGTAAAAAAAATTTTAAAATATGTGTTGCAGTTGCCCATACTATTAGAGACACCTCAAAAGTATTATGTATTTTAGATATAGTAATATGTGATTTATCAGTATGGTACTTGAATTACTGTGCATAGTAATATAATTTTTTTTTATGCAATTTTTAATTTATCTTTTATAAACTGTTCAAAAGTTTAATAACCCAGACTTTTTAGTTCCTTGGAACAAAAAAAAAACCTTTTAATTCCGCCAAAAAAATATTTCAAAATTCATATTCAATACATTTTACAACCACTTGTTTTCAAAAATTTTGTCCAAAAAAAAAAAACAACAAAAGGGACATGAAAAGAGGGAGGAGTGTAGGGCAAGATGGATTCAGAGAGGGAGGAGTTAATCCAAATCTTGCAAGTTCGATCCTTTTTTAGTCAGTGAAGAAAAGAAAGTTAAGAAGAGGGTTGTGGGGATTGTTAGGGTCAGAGATATATTGTGAAAGACAAGGATTAGAACCATCAATAATGCCAAGCATATCATAAGTTTGAAGGATGAGGAGAAAAAGTTATTTACTAAGAGGTAGTTGTCCCGAGTTAGTATGATAGGTAAAAGGGTGGAGATTTAAGAAGCAGTGTGGGAGGGAGAACAGGAAAAGGGAGAAGAAAGGAAAGATGGGGCTGAGGGAGGAACATAGTAGTAAATTATGGAGCAGAAGATAGGGGAGGTGGAGCCCAGGCCGAAGTCGCTGGAATCGTGCTCCCACAACGATGATCTAACTCCGAGCCATCACCGAACACGGTGTTGTCGTCGCTCTTCTTGAAATTGCCAAAACTAAATTCAAATTAAATAAAACCCAAACAAAATAGAAAACTCAAAACGAGTCGACAAGTTTACCTGAGAACGTGGTCGGCAGCTGCGCACGTGTGGATTCGTGTTAGGACTCAAGATCCCACATTGGAAAAATAGCATATCATAGAGTGGTTTAAGAGTTCATAGACACCCTTCCCTTGCAAGTCAGTTTTTAGGAGCAAGTTCTACTCATGGGTTCCTCTTAACAGTAGGTATTAGAGCCTAGTTTCACCATGCAACTGGGCCCAATTCCATAGAAGGGGCAACCTATAGGCTGGATTAAGATGATATCGAGTAATTGAATACTGGTAGTTGAGTGAAGCAACCTCAAAGGAATGAAAGGGAAATCACAGAGCAACCCTCCCAAACAAGTCAGTTTTTATGGGCAAGTTCTACTCATGGGTTCTTAACAGTTTGACTGAGAAGCTTTCACACTAATCTTGAGAGCATTAAAAAATCTTGCCCGATCCTCTTCGTTCATAGCTGTGAGGTGTACAAGGCCAAACCTAGCCTTGTGCATTAGCAATATGGGGAGATTTCAGTCAAATCTAAATATGCAAACATTGGATAGCGAGAGAGAAGATTTTAAGGTACCTAGATAGAACAAAGGTTTACATGATGATTTACAACCGCACAGAGAATTTAGAGCTTGTTAGTTATGCTAATGCGAATCTTGGAAAAGCGAGGATGATTACATCTCTACTTCAAGTTTTCTTTTCAAGATGGCACGAGCAGTTGCTACTTGGAAGAGTGCTAAACAAACTGGTCTTTCGAGTTCAACTATGTTTTCAGAATACATAGCTCTCTATGAAGCCAATACTCATGCAGTATGGCTAAGAAATTTTATCAAAGACATTAAGGTGGTGGAATTGATTTCAAGACCAGTGCATATATACAATGACAACATTATGACTGTTTTTCACTACATGAACAACAAGATGTCGTCTAGACTTTAGCACGTTGGCAAAACGTATTTGATAGTGAGGGAGAAGGTGGCAGACAACTAGTCAGGTTTGATCATATCAGAACTCAAGATATGATTGCAGATCCGTTTACAAAGTTTCTGCCTTCAAAAGGTTTTCTGAGACATGTTGAGAGTATGGGATTATTTCCTAGCTTTGATGCTACAATCTAGTGGAAGTCTTGTTCCCATTCCGATAGTTTTCTAGCATGTCTAATTTCTTCTGTTTTCTGGATTGAGGGATTTGCATTTAAGGATGTTAATTTGCTTGACAGTTTTGATTATTGAATAATTTCTACCATTTTGACTATTTAGCTGTTTAAACTTATTATACATTTTATTTATGTATGTGAGTTTATGGTCTCTTTTGAGATACTATTGTTTTAATAACATTGCGGATTGACTCTTGCTAAGTCGTAAAGGGGTATATGTACTGAAAAGTATAAAGATTCACATTATGGGTTAGTACATGTTAAGGTTCGCGTTTGCAGATGCTTCATGTGTTTTGAGATTGCATTATGTGATTAAAGATGGCTTGTTTTTAATAAAGGAGAGCAATGCTTGTCTGTAGTTCATTTTGTCGAATCGCTTTTCATTGTAGCTTGAAGGGAAGGACTTAACTGTTTTAAACTACGGCTAATAAAAATCATCAAACTTTTGCAATACAGAAGCTTAGTGCTCTAGTGCTTGATCTAATGGGAGAATGTTATATTCCTATTTAGATTGGTGCACTCGATATTAAGTTATATGAGGTTTGATAAGAGTTTAAATTATGTTATACCTTGAGGCCCAAAACCTTGTGAAATAAGGAAAGTTTTGAAGCCAATTACAGGGGTCCTATTTATTTCCTTTTGAGTGAACCATTGCTTGATGGGCTTAGAGTGTTAGTCAAATCGGCCTTGGTGATAAGTAGTAGAGACAACTTGACCTAGCCTTATATAAGCTTAAGACCCTGCTCTCATCAGACACATTCTCTAACCTTAATCTCATCATAAAAAGAGAGCTGAAATAGTTTATAAGAGAGAGTAGAAGTCTTAAGCCGTTCGTGCCTTTTTCTTGTGTTGCCACTACAACGATTGAATGAGTTTTGAGATCGTGTACTCCAAGAAGATGATGCCATATATGTCTTTTGTGTATTTCAGGTTGTGTGAAAGATCATGGACACTATAAAAATCTAACACTTATGACCAAGGGAACATGTGATTCCAATAGAAAAGATAAATGTTGCTGCCATCTCACACATTTTGTGCGACACAAAATTAAAATTGCATTATAAAAACACAAACAAATCAAAGCTTTTTTCATCTTACATTAATATAAAACCAAATTCACCAAATCAAAGAATGTCAATTCTTCGTTATTTATGCAATGATAGAAGAATATCAAGGAACATGATTCTTCCTGTACAAGATTTTAATGAAAATTGAAGTTTCAGAAGCAACAAAGGAAAAAATAGACAGCTAGAAAAACTAGAATTCCAAAGAAACCACCACATCTGATACTACAACTCACAGATCTATGAATGTACGAGATATTACTTTTTCTTTTTAAAATTTTATAACTATAAAGAAGAACTATTTCTTTGGCATATATGGGTTTAACGGTTTGGATTGGGCGGTCTATTTTGTTGTTTTTCTTGGTGATATTCTTTTTACTTTTCCAGACAAAATAATGAGTAATTAAGAAAAATATATGTGGCAAATTAAGTACATGGCTTGTCGTAATATTCTGTACTTTCTTCTGTACAAGATTACATGATTTGCATTATAGAAGCCAACAAGGTCTAACTTAGTGGAAAATGACATTGATTTGCATATCAAAGGTCTCAAGTTCGAAACCCCATGACATTTTAGTTGTATGTGTGAGTTTAAAATATTGCTTGTACTATTTTTTTTTTTATTTTTTTATTTTTAGGTAATAGAAGCTCCCCTTTGTATCTAATACTTATGCCTAAGTGTAACAAAACGTGATTCGCATATTGGCTGATCCTTTAACAGCCAGTTTAATTTATTTGATGCGGTTTTAGTACTTGTTATTGTACTTTTGCTTTATTACTTTTTATTTTTTAAATGTTTTAAGATAGTATACTTATTAATTAAGCAAGTTTAATTTATAAGATAGTTGCTTTTGTTACTTATTAATTAAGCAAGGTATATGTGTGATGTGATGCTAAAAAAAGATAAAGGAAAAAAAAAAGCAAATATATAGACTGGGAGTGGCGGCGGGCGGCTATTATCAATTGAGTTGAGTGGAAAAAATTCGGTGATGTTTGAAATAGGAGAGGAACTTCGTCTCGCGGGAGAGCAATATGAATGGGCCATGAACGGCCAGTGGGAAAGACTAATACGATTCTACAAGGATGATGGGTCTGAAGTATTTGGGCCAATGACAACGAAGTACGACACTGTACTTCACGTGGCAGGCTTGGCTGGGCGCAAAGACGTGCTTGAGTTTTTGATTCCACTGATGGAAGACAATGATACGTTGATAGCGGAGAACAACCGTGGCAACACCCCGCTTCATGAGGTAGCTGCGTCTGGAAATTTGGACGCAGCAAAGCTGTTGGTCATTCAGGGCACATTTGACTATGGCATTACATATGAGAAAGGAAAAGAAGCTAGACTCATTGGCTACTGTGACAGTGACTGGTCAGGAAGTGAGGATGACATGAGAAGCACCTCTGGATATGCATTTAATCTTGGATCAGGTGTGTTTTCTTGGGCTTCAGTCAAGCAAAGTAGTGTAGCTCTGTCTACTGCTGAGGCAGAATACGTTAGTGCAGCAGAAGCTACTGCACAAGCAATCTGGTTGCGTTTTGTTCTCTCAGATTTTGGTGAAGAACAAGTAAGTGCTACTACAATCCTATGTGATAATACCTCTGCTATTGCCATAACCAAGAACCCTGTGCATCATCATAAGACAAGGCATATCAACAGGAGATTTCATTTTATCCGAGATGCCTTGCAAAATGGAGAAATCGATCTATTGTACTGCAAACAGAAGAGCAAACTGCTGATATTTTTACCAAGGCATTGGCTAGAGATCGTTTTGAGTATTTGAGAAGAAAGCTTGGGGTTATTTCAGCTAAACACTTAGAAGGGAGTGTTGAAATATAAGTATATTTAGCTGAAATATTCGTTTAGATCCATTAAGCTTGTTTAAGCTGTGTACTTAATTGTGAGCCATTGGATTATAGTCCAATGGACGGCTAAGACATTAGTTTGTAATGTGAGTGTTTGTTGTTGCCATGTGTCTCTATCTCATAGGATAGAAGTTTGGATGGCTAGATTGAGCTGATGTAAGAGAGGAATATTCTCTCCTAACGGTATTATTTGTACTGCACAACTTGTGCGTGAATTGGTAATGAGTTAACAGACCCATTCATTGTTTTCATCCTCTCCAAGCTCTCTGAGCATTTTCTAGTGTGTTCATTTTCTCTTAGCTATTGAACTCCATAACCAACAATCCAAATTACTCAGATAATAGTCTGTGTATTCTAACATGGCCTCAGAGCCAGGATGGGCTTTGGGAATTGGTTGAGAAGGGAATGAAATGCTCATATTCAAAGGGAGCTGGCGAATCTGAAGAAAAGAAGAAAGAAAAGGAAGACTCGAGTGGAGCTGGGAAGACTCTCACTGAGCTATACATGAAGGATGCTAGAGCTCTGGGTCTGATCCAAGGAGCAGTGTCCGAAGAGATTTTTCCTCAAATCTCTCATGAGGAAACTTCTAAGGGTGCTTGGGATCTCTTGATGCAAGAATTCCATGGTGATAAACAGGTTAGAAGTGTGAAATTGCAAGGTCTGCGTAGAGAGTTTGAATATACTAGAATGAGAGATGATGAATCACTTTCTGGTTATCTTACCAAACTATTTGATTTAATAAACCAAATGAGAAGCTATGGAGAGGAGTTATCTAAATCAAGGATTGTTCAGAAGATGTTAATAAGTTTGCCATCAACTTATGACTCTATTTGTTCTGTTATTGAGCATTCAAGAGATCTAGATACAATTGATGTTCAAGAGGTTGTTGCTTTACTGAAAAGTTTTGCATAAAGATTGGAGAGACACCATGAGAACAAGACTGAAAAGGCTTTTGCTAGTCTGAGTGTTGATTCCAAATCTGCTAAGGTCACTGGAAATCAGGATAATAAGCATCATAAGAATTGGAAAGATAAAGGGAAAAAGTGGGATAACAAACCCACTGATGGAGCTAAAAATTCTTGCAAGCATTGTGGTAAATTGCACTTTGGAGAGTGTCGATTCAAAGGCAAACCAAAATGCTATAATTGTGACAAGTTTGGTCACATTGCAAAGGATTGTTATAGTAAGAAGCCTGTGCAGCAAGTTAATTATGCTACTCAGGTCACCAATACACCAACAATGTTTTATGCTAGTAAAGTGAGTGCTAGTATGGAAGGAAGCGTTGATGTTTGGTATCTTGACAGTGGATGTAGTAATCACATGACAGGTAAGGAGGATTGACTTGTTGATATTGACAAGAATGTGACTGCAAAGGTGGCAATGGGTACTGGACAGTTGGTAGATGTGACTGGAAAAGGAAGCATTGTGGTTGAAACTAAAGAAGGCAGAAGATATATCAAGGAGGTTATGCTTGTGCCGGGTTTGAAGGAAAATCTGCTGAGTGTTGGACAAATGATGGAGCATGGCTATCACTTAGTGTTTGGCAATCAAAAGGCTGAAATCTATGATGATGGTTCATACTCAAATTTGGTAGCAAAAGTTCCAATGAGAGGAAACAGGAGCTTTCCACTTAAGCTACAGGCTGAGATGCATATTGCTTACAAGGTCAATGTACGTCAATCATCTATCATGTGGCATAGAAGGATGGGGCATTTAAATATGCACTACAAGAAAACTGGGTATTTACGGCGTGCGATGTGCGCCGTAAATGACAATTCACGACGTGCTGCTGCATGCCATAAAAGGCCGTGCCGTAAAAAGTATTTTTCTTTTATGGCGTGCATTCGATTGCTGCAAGCGTTAATAATGCACGCCATGATTGAGCTTTTGTAAAAGTTTGGACAACTATTTACGACATGCTCTGCACGCCATAAAAGAGTTATTACGGCATTCAATGCACACCATAAAAGAAGGTTTTTATTCCCATTTAAGGCGTGTTTTGCACGCTGTGTTTGACCTTTTTTTTAATAAAAAAAATTAATTAATTTCCTTCCTACTCTTGTTTCATAGTAACAAAATACTTCTATGTTTTATTACCCTGGAAAAAAAAAACAATGGTATTGCAACCAAACTTAAAAAGAAAACCAATCATAATCAATTCCAAGTACAAACTCTTTATAGTATAAAAGAAACACATAAAAGTGTTGCCAAACCTACAAATAACTTGTTCACAAAACCTACAATTAACTTGTTCACAATCTCTCCAACCCATTCACTCATGAATATAATAACAAAAATCAATCTCTAACATATCAAACCACATCTAACCTATGCTCAAACTATGCAGCAGGGCTACCATCAGCTGGTTGTCCAATTATCCAGTCATGTTTTTGTTGTTGCTTCCAAATATCCTGTCAGCAACAGAACCATAAACTCCAATTTTTCAGGTATTATGATCAAGTAGGTAGTTGTGTGTGTAAATTAAGTTTACCTTGACATTCATCAATTGAACCACCACCTAATGTCTTGACATGAGCTTTTAGAAAACTGTTGTTGCTCCTGCACCACCAGAGAAACTAACGCAATTTCAGCTACTGTGTATTACACTTTGAACTCAGAATTAAACACCCTAAACTCAATAAAAATCTACCAAATTACATGCATCCTGAAGCTGATTAAATAAACTTTGAAACCATATAAAATTTGACAGAAATGGTGCTCTAATTTATAAGATAAGGCAGTCCAAATAAGTGTTTCAAAACTGAAACTG